TGAGCTTCAAGACGGCCAAGATGGCCGCTAAAACGGACAAGATGGCCCAAGATGGGCCCGAGAGGTTCCAAGATTGCCCCAGAGGAGTCCAAGAGGTGCTCCAGGAAGGCCCGAAGGAGCCAAAATCTTAAATGTGCCTTAGGTGTTTGAAAGATGTTTGTTGTTCCTCGGTTTTAGTGTTCCGACCGCCTAAGAGCGCCCAAGAGGCCTCCAAGACGGCCCCATGACAGGCCAAGAGGCCCCGAAGAGGGCCCCATCGAGACCCCAAGACGGCCCAAGAGGCCCCCAAGACACCCAAGATGGCCTCCAAGACGGCCAAGAAGGACTCCAAGATGCGTCCAAGACGGCCAAGAAGGCCTCCAAGACGGCGAAGATGGCCCCAAGATGCACCAAAGACGGCCCCAGATGGCCTGAAGATGGCCTTAGACTGTCCAAAGGCCCGTCAGAGGCCTCCAAGACGGCCCAAGACCCCTCCAAGACGTCCTCCAGGAGGCCCGAAAGCTCGGAAACCACCTGGTCCGATAGCTCGCCCGACTCAGTGCTCCCCGAATGCTTTCGAAACCCACTCGGGGAACGCGTGGCCTGATAGCTTGGCCGAGCTCAAACCCAACTTTCGGCCACGCAGGCGCTTCCAAAAAGGCAGGGGGCGGCGGTGATTCACCGTAGGCGTCTTCGATAACGCCAACGTCTCAATACGCACTGATGATTCATGTCCGCCCCCGCATGATGTTCCCAGATGCGCCAAGGCAGCGCCGAGACGCACCGACGCGACTCTGATGTATCCCATTATGATAGAGAGGAGGCCGGCGGCAGGGGGCGAAGCCCTAACGATGATAAAATTAATCAAAATAATGATATCATAACAGTAGGAATCATAAACATAACAATAATGATGACCATCGTCATCACCACCAGCATCATCAGCATGGTCATCATCCAAAGCATCATCATCAACATCATCATAATCGTCGCCGTCGTTATCATTAGCATCAGAAGCTTCATCATCATCGGCATCATGATCAGAATTGGATCAGCATCATCATCACATCCTAATCAGCATCAGCATCAGCATCAGCATCATCATCATCAGCATCAGCATCGGTATCACCGTCAGCATCGTCACCATCATCATCATGTTCAGCATCGTCACCCGTATCCTGGTCATCACCATCACTGCCATCATTATCACCATCATCGTCGTCTTCCTCATCATCACCATCATAATCCTCATCCGCAGCATCATCACTATCATCAGTATCATCCTCATCCTCATCCTCAACACCAGCATCGCCATCGCCATCCTTATCATTATCATCATCATCATCATCATCATCAGCAGCATCATCGACATCATCAACATCATCATCAACATCATCATCCTTATCATCATCCTCATCACCATCATCATCATCACCATCGAATTCATCATCGTCCTCATCCTAATCCTCCTGCTGCTCCATCCTCGTCCCACACACACACACTCCTTCGTGATCCGAATCCCCTCCTAATCCTCCTTCTCCGAAAACCCATCTTCCTATCCTCGCTCCCCTGGCACATTTCCTCTCCTGACACCCTATCGGAACTGCTCATAGCGTTCGAGCACGTCGGGAAAAATGCACAGCAACAAAGACTACCGGAACCCTCGATTTCATCGTTTTGCGGCACGCTTCGAGCCTGACATAGGTCCGTGAGGGTCCTAGCGCCCCAAGCTGGGCAACAAGACCCGTCGTGATCTGTTCGCAGCGGCAGCATCTGAAGGATGCCTCCCCGGGAGGTTCCCAAAAAGTGAAAAACGTTAAGATTCCTCATCCTCAAAATCATCATCATCATCATCATCATCATCATCATCATCATCAACATCATCATCATCATCATCATCATCATCATCATCATCATCACCGCCATCATCATCATCAACATCATCATCATCAGACTCATCGTCATCAGAATCTTCATCCTCATCCACATCCACATCCCCATACGCATTACCATCCTCCTCAGCATAATATGTTTCATCATCATCGTCATCGTCATCATCATCAGCATCAGCACCATCATATTCATACTCATCATCATCATCCTCATCATCATCCTTACCCTCATCCTCATCTTCATCCTCATCCTCAGCATCAACAGCATCGAGATCAACATGATTAACAGCATCATCATCAGCATAACCGTCGTCATCGTCATCATCATTATCAGCATCATTATCATCATCATCGACCGCATCAGCATCCTCATCGTCATCCTCATCCTCATCACCATCTTCATCCTCATCAGTATCATCACCATCATTAATCTACATCATCACAATCATTCTCATCGTCATCCTCATCGTCATCATCGTGAGAGTCTTTCATCCTCGTCCGCATCATCATCCTCATCAGCATCACCACTATCATCATCAACATCACCATCATCAGCAACACCGTTATCAATATCAAAATCAACATTACCATCACCGTCGCCATGATCATCATCCGCAACATCATCATCATCACCACCACCATCATCATCCTCAGCATCATCGTCATCATCGACGCCGCGCCGCTGGATGTCCCCAGGGGGGGGGGGGCTGGGAACCCTCCCCCCCTTCCCCGATCCGTCGTCGGGGAGCCCCCCCCCTCCCCCCCTTTCCCGATCCGTCGTTGGGGAACACCCCCCCCCCTCCTTCCCCCGTTTCCCGGTCCGTCGTCGGAGAAACCCCCCCCTCCCCCCCTTTCAAAAGAGGGGGGAGGGGGTTCCGAACCACCCCCCCTCCCCCCCTTTGGCCGCCAAATTCGAACCCCCCCCCTTCCCCCCCCTTTCGCCACGGCGCCCCTGGTCTCCGGAACCCGACCCCGACCACCACTAACACTAATCCTCACCCCTACCCTAACCCCCAACCTTGACCCCAAACCCAAACCCTAGCCCCAAACAGCACTCACTACTCATCACGCACTACTCACGACCCACAATTCACGACTCGCTACTCACTACTCACTTCTCACTCCTCACTACTCACTACTCACGACGCACTACTCACTACCCACGACTCACTACCCACTACCCACTACTCACTACTCACTACTCCCTACACACTGCTCACTACTCACTACAAACTACGCACTACTCACTACCCACTACTCAATACTCACTACTCACTAAACACAACTCACAACCCACTACTTACAAATCACAAATCACTACTCACTACCCACTAACCACTATCCAGTACTCACTACTCACAGTTCACTAGTCACAGTTCACTGCCCACAAGTAACTACTCACTATCCACTACTCGCTACTCGCAACTCCCTACTCCCTACATACTCACTACTCACTACTCGCTACTCCCAACGCCCTACTCGCTACCCATTACGCACTATGCACTACCCACTACTCACTACTCACTACGCTCCACTACTCACTACTCACTACTTCCTACTCCCTACTTAATACTCCCAACGCAATACTCACTACTCACTACCCAGTACTCAATACTCACTACTCACTAAACACTACTCACTGCCCACTATTCACTGAGCACTACTCACTACCCACTAACCACTATTTACTACTGAGTACTCACTGTTCACTATTCACTACGCACTGCCGACAACTGCCTACTCACTATCCACTACTCGCTACCCGATCCGAAATATTCACTGCCCACTACGCACTACTCGCTACTCACTACTCACTACTCAATACTCCCTACTCACTAGTCACTAGTCGCGAGTCGCTACTCACTACCCACTACCCACTACTCTCTACGCACGACTCACTACGCACGACTCGCAACTCACAAATTTCTATTCGCAACTCCCCACTCACTACCCACTACTCAATACCCACTTCTCGCCTCTCACTACTCACTACTCACTACTCACTACTCCCTACTCACTACTCATTACTCACTACTCACTACAACTACTCCCTACCCGCCACGCACTACTCCCTACTCGCTACTCACTACTGACTCCTGACTGCTCCCTCCTCACTACCCTCTGCTCACGAGGCCCTACTCGCTACTCGCTACTATTCGTTACTCCCTACTCGCTACTCCCCACTCGCTACTCGCTACTCGCTACTCGCTACTCACCACTCACTACTCACTACTCTCTACTCACTGCGCACTACTCACTACTCACTACTCACTCCACGCTATTCGCTACTGTCTACCGCCACATCCCTACTCCCTGCTTTCAACTCACGATGCACGACTCACTACACTCTACTCACTCCTCACTACTCACTTATCAGAATTCCTGACTCTCTACTTCCTTCCTACTACTCACTACCCACTACTTATTACTCACTACTCACTATTCACGAATCCTTACGCACTACTCACTACTACCACTACCCATTACCCACTACTCACTACTCACGACTCACTGCTCAAAACACTCTACTCTCTACTCACTACCCGAGAGGCCCCCCTGTTCGGCGCAAAGGGGGGGAGGGGGGGGGGTCGAACCCCCCCCCTTTCCAGTGCCAAAGGGGGGATGGGGAGAGGTCTGGACCCTCCCCCCCTTCAAGGAGTGGAGGGGGGGGGGGTTCGGACCCCCCCTTAAGGGGGGACGGGGGGGGGTCGAAAATCTCACCCCCCTTTTGAAGGGGAGGAGGGGAGGGGGTTCTGCGAGCCCCCCCCCTTTTGTGTATTCAGGGCTATCCACTGGCGCGCGTTCGTCATCATCATCGTCGTCATCTCTACCAAACTCATGACCATCCTCCTCCTCCTCCACCTCCTCCTCCTCATCCTCCTCTCCTTCCTCTCTACTCCTGGACCTCTCACAGCATGCGTTCTGGCCAGAATCTCGAAGCGGATCCAGCCGTGGCGACGAGAGGCATCCTGGATCCACCCGGAAACACGACACACGAATTGCTGTCTCTATTCTGCGCAAACTTCCTCGATCGGAATGTCTTCCTCTTTCTCGCCCCCTCCTCCCACACACCCTCAGGGTTGGCTCGCGAAGAGGTGGCGGGAAGCTCGGGCAACGACACAGGCCGTCCTGAGCGATCTCTGGCCACGGCTTCATGGACCAGCCTCGGAGCGGGGCGCAGTGGAGGCAGGACAACGGCGCGACAAGGACGAGGATGAGGAGGGCACCGATGCGCGCAACGATAACAACGACGAAGACGATACGAGAACAAACGACAAGGACGGAGACAAGGATGGGGATGACGACGACGACGACGACGACGACGACGAGGACGACGACCAACGACCAGGACAACGACAACAAGGCAGCGGAGGGAACGGCAAGAACGGCGCAGAAGTTCAGAACAGAACAGGTGCAGAAGAGAACTCAGTTGAGTTGGCTCGCACTCCCGCTCCTCCTCCTCCTCCGCACCTGAGGTCCCGAGGACCTCGATCGTCGGCCCCCGGTCTTCGAGCCTCGAGCCCTCGATCCTCGATCGTCGATCCCCGATCCCCGATCCTCGACCCTCGAACCCCCTCGCCCTCATCCTCCGTCTCCTACTTCTCCTCCTCCTCCTCCTCCTCCTCCTCCTCCTCCTCCTCCTCCTCCTCCTCCTCCTCCTCCTCCTCCTCCCCCCCCGCATAGAGGTAGAATAGAATAGAATAGAATCCTCCTCCTCCTCCTCCTCGAAAGCACCTCCCCCATCCTCGATCCTCGATCCTCGAACCCCGATCCCCCTGCTCCTCCTCCTCCTCCTCCTCCTCCTCCTCCTCCTCCTCCTCCTCCTCTCCTCCTCCTCCTCCTCGCACGCGCCTCTCCGATCCTCGATCCTCAATCCTCGGGCCCCGATCCTCCTCCTCCTCCTCCTCCTCCTCCTCCTCCTCCTCCTCCTCCTCCTCCTCCTCCTCCTCGCACGCGCCTCCCCGATCCTCGATCCTGAGTCCTCGGGTCCCCTCGTGCCCGCGACGGCTCCCACAACGACCCCCCGGCCCAGCCTCGCGCCGCGAGCAGATAGGGCATCGCGAAGTCGGAGGAGAAGATCTTCTTGTCCCCCTCCCCGAGCAGGTTCCAGTCCTCGAGGGTCGAGGGTCGAGTTTTCACGTGCCACTTGTATGGACCGAGAAGCGTTTTCCTACTCGTCCCCACTGCGCGTGCCGGAAGCCTTCTCCGCAGTTCCTTCGAAGCTCCCCGTGGGCTCCTACGAAGCTCCCCTTCCCCAGCATGCAAGCTCCCCAGGCCTTCTTTCCAGCGTCCTGGCAAGCGTCTCCCACATACGTTTCGCGCGCTGCGGACTGCGCTGCTATCAGGGTTTGGGACGCTACAAGTTCACGTGCCACTTGTATGCAGGTTGGACGGGGTAGGATGGCGGCGGCTCTTAATCTCCTCCAGCATGGTAGCGAGCGAGTCCACAACTGTGCAGGCCCAAAAGGCGCTCAGCTGGAGCGAGGCTGGTCCGAGGGCCAGCGACTCCCCCGGGGCCAAGAGAAGCGCGCTGGGAAACATCGACTTCCACAATTATCGGCCCGAGCATGTTCCAGTCCTCGAAATCCGAGGGTCGAGGTCTTGGAACGTCTCGAGACGTTCCTGGAACCCGGAGCGCCCCCGTCGCCGCCACAGCTGGCCTCCACACGGGGGTCTGGGCAGAACGCACCCCGGGAGAGGTCCAGAGGTCGATGTTGAATCCCCAGGACCCTCCTCCTCCTCCTCCTCCTCCTCCTCCTCCTCCTCCTCCTCCTCCTCTTCCATCTCCTCCTGCTGCTCCTCCTCCTCATCATCATCAGCATCATCATCAGCATCATCAGCATCATCAGCAGCACCATCATCAGCATCAGCATCATCATGAACATCATCAGCAGCAGCATCATCCTCATCATCAGCATCATCAGCATCATCATCAACAGCATCATCAGCATTCGCCTCCTCCTCGTCCTCCTCCTCCTCTTCATCCAACTCCTCCCCCCCTCCTCCTCCTCCTCCTCCTCCTCCTCTTCCTCCTCCTCCCCCTCCTCCTCCTCCTCCCTGCTCCTGCTCCTGTTCCTGCTCCTCCTCCTCCCCCTCCTCCTCCTCCTCCTCCTCCTGCCCTCCTCCACCTCCTCCTGCTCCTCCTCCCCCTCGTCCTCCTCCTCCTCCTCCTCCTCCTCCTCCTCCCTCCTCCTCCTCCTCCTCCTCCTCCTCCTCCGCCTCCTCCGCCTCCTCCGCCTCCTCCTCCTCCTCCTCCACCTCCTCCTCGCCCTCCTCCTAAGCCTGGTCCTCCTCCTCCTCCTCCTCCTCCTCCTCCTCCTCCTCCTCCTCCTCCTCCTCCTCCTCCTCCTCCTCCTCCTCCTCTTCCTCATCCTCCTGCCCCTTCGCCTCCTTCGCCTCCTCCCTCCTCCGCCTCCTCCGCCTCCTCCGCCTCCTCCTCCACTTCCTCCTCCACCTCCTCCTCCTCCTCATCCTCCTCCTCCTCGTTCTCATCTTCATCCTCCTCCCCTCCTCCTCCTCCCCTCCTCCTCCTCCTCCTCCTCCTCCTCCCTCCTCCTCCTCCTCCTCCTCCTCCTCCCTCTCCGCCACCGCCGCTACCTCCTCCTCCTCCTCCTCCTCCTCCTCCTCCCCTCTCCTCCTCCTCCTCTTCTCCTCCTCCTTCTCCTCCTCCTCCTCCTCCTCTCCTCCTCCCTCCTCCTCTTCCGCCGCCGCCGCTGCCCTCCTCCCCTCCTCCTCCTCCTCCTCCTCCTCCTCCTCCTCCTCCTCCTCCTCCTCCCTCCTCCTCATCCCTCCTCCTCCTCCTCCTCCTCCTCCTCCTCCTCCTCCTCCTCCTCCTGCTCCTCCTTCTCCTCCGCCTCCTCCTCCACCTCCTCCTTCCCATCCTCCTCGCAGTCATGAGCCGTACTGGCTAGTATCGACCTTCAGGGGAAATGTGACATCGCATCGGGGCGAATTGTATTGGGCACGAGCGCGAGATCGAAACCTCGTCGAATGCCCAGATGGGCCGCGCCGATATACATTACGACGCCGTGCAAGCATTGGCGTGGGGAAAACTGGTCCTGTGTGAGACGGGTCCTGGACCCTGGGGCCTTCCCCCAGGACGAACTTCTCATCCTGAGGTGTTTTCTGGCAGTCCCGGGGCCCGTGGAGGGCCCTGGGAGCCCGAAAACGGCGAATAATTCAGGACCCGTTTATCTCAGGACCCGTTTCCCCCATGGCGAAAGCATCAGGCCGCATCGGATCGCTCGCACATCGGAATCAAATGGAGCCGAGCTGGCGGAAACCGAGACTGAAGTGGACCGAATGAATCGAAAAATAGATCTTGCTGACGGGTTCCTGCAACGCCCGCGCCGTCCCGCCCCCCTCCGCCCCTCCTCCTCCTCCGCCTCCTCCTCATCCTCTTCCTCTTCCTCCTCCTCCTCCTCATCCTCCTCCTCCTCCTCCTCCTCCTCCTCCTCCACCTCCTCATGTTCTCCTCCTCCTCCTCCTCCTCCAACTCCTCCGCCTCATCTACCCCCCCGGGCAGCCTCCTCCACCGCCTCTGCTACCGCCTCCGCCTCCTCATCCTCCTCCTCCTCATCATCATCCTCCGCCTCTCACCTCCTCCTCCTCCTCCTCCTCCTCCTCCTCCTCCTCCTCCTCCTCCTCCTCCTCCTCTCTTCTTCTTATTATCATTATTCTTCTTATGATTATTATTCTTCTTATTATTATGAGTATTCCTCTTATTAATCTTATTATTGTTCTTATTATTATATTATGTTTCTTCTCTGCTTATTATTCTTCTTATTAATATTCTTATTTTTTGGTATTCGTCTTCTTATTGGCCTTCTTATTCCTCCTCCTCCTCCTCCTCCTCCTCCTCCTCCTCCTCCTCCTCCTCCTCCTCCTCCTCCTCCTTCTCCCTGCGTGAGATCTGAAATTACATCCCCGCTTGGACCAAAAATCAGCGCGGCGGGTCCTCTTGAGGCCTGCGCCTGGTCCCCTGTTCCGCCGCAAACGCCCGACAGTTTCAGCCCCTGCTCCGATACCGTATTAAATCCGCTTCCCCTCAAGGGGGCGATCACCACTCCAAACGAAATACGGGCACGAACAGCTGCGATGCACTGTAGCGGCAGCACTCGAGAGCGGCAAATGGCCAGGAGAAGGAGATGATCAACGTACTCCCATAACCTCAAAGTGGGCATCCGGGCTGCTCCACCGAAACCACCAAGAAAACAGAGGTGATACGCGACAGCACCGACACTGGGCCATGCTCTAGAATCCCCCACTCCAAAGGAGCAATGGCAGCCAAAGAGAAAGCAAGAGGGCAGGAGAGGGCAAAGGGAAAGAGCCAATGACGTTGTGTGTGCATTCCCCATGGTCCCAAGACCAGTTATAGAAGGCCAGGCACAATGACGATCAACGAGAAGGCTCGCAGTTCACAGTACGCTAACATCCCACGCAGGGCGCAAATGATAGAAACATACCCGAATTCCCATCACGCTGACGGTGGAGACAAACGGACAAGGAGACAGAGAAAGAGCAGAGAAGACGGGGACAAGAAATATTGGGCGCACGCACTCGCCAATATAGCCTAATGATTGTGGACTTGGACGCCCGAAATGGGTACGGAGACAATGGGCACAATGCCCAGCAACAAATGTTGTCCAAAAACCAACAGCGGCCGCTGTTGGGCAGGCGGCCTCCTGTCTCGAATGGACACAGGCCGCGGCGGCGTGGACAGCGAATCCTGTTCAAAATGAACAGGATCCGCTGCTGGGCATTGTACCCACTCTTTCCGTACCCATGTCGGCCGTCCCGAATGGAGGCGGGCACCGCGGCGCCCGGCAAACGCGACGCTGCCCCGCAGCGGGAGGCGAGCGCGAGCCCGCACGTCCAAAGAGGCCCAGGGTCGGCCAGCAGCGGCCGCAAGCACCACCGCGCACCGCCCGTGCAAACAGTGGCGCGGGGGCCACCAGTTCGGAAAGGAGGCAAGGAGGAGGAGGAAGGAGAGGAGGAGGAGGAGGAGGAGGAGGAGGAGGAGGAGGAGGAGGAGGAGGAAGGGGAAATGAGGAGGAGGAGGAGGAGGAGGAGGACGGAAAGGAGGAGGGAGGAAGGGGAACTGGCCCAACGAGCCGCGCTGGGCGCGGCCAGTTGGGCCCAACTCCGCTCCCTCCTCTAACTGGGTGCTGGCCCAACCGGCCGCGCGGCGCCGCGGGAGTCCCTGAAGAGGCAGCGCGCCGAGGCCGTGACGTGCACTCCGCTGCACGTTGGTGCAGCCGCCCCGGTCCCGGCCGCGTGGCCGTAAGTCTGCGAGCACGCCTGGTCCCCTATTGCCGTTTTGTGCTCCCTCCCCCGATCCTACCCCGTCCTGGTCATCCTTGTCGTCCCCCTTCTCATCCTTCCCCTGCTTCTCGTCCTCATCATTATCATAACTAACCGCATCATCCGTAGCATCATCAGCAACAACCTCATCATAATCAGCAGCAGCAGCATCATCAGCATCATCATCATCGTTATCATCATCCTCATCAGAATCACCGGCATCATCATCAGTCTCATCATCATTAGCGGCAGCATCAGCAGCAGCATAGACATAATCACCAGCATCGTCATCATCGTGAGCATCGTCATCATCATCGCCAACATCAACAGCATCATCACCACCACCAACACCACCATCAGCATCAGCATCATCAATATACTCATCATCACAATCAACAGCGTCATCATATTTGTCGTCGTCGTCAGAGCCATCAGTTCGGTCATCATCATCGTCATCAGCATCATGATGAGCATCACCGTCGTCCTCCCCTTTTTCCTCCTCCTCCTCCTCATCATCATCGTCGTCATCATCATCACCAGCATCATCAGCAGCATCATCATCAGCAGCATCATCAGCATCATCAGCAGCATCATCATCTCCAGCATCCTCACCATCATCATCACACAATCATGAGCATCAGTAGCCCCATCATCAACATCGTCAGCAGCAGAATCATCGTCAATCACTGTCTTCGTCATGAGAACTATCAGCATCACCATCATCATCAGCATTATCATTATCATCGTCGTCATCATCACCAGTTTCATCATCACCTGCATCCTCAGCAGCATTGCCATCCAGTCTCACCAGCGCCATCATCAACATCACCAGGAACATCATCAGCACCACCAGCATCGTTGACATGGTGACTGGCCTCATCAACGTCCACATTATTATCAGCATCAACAACGACAGCATCCTCGCCCATGGGTCCAAACGAACAATATGATCAATGTCAGTTGCATCGAAGAAACCGCATTAACGTCATGTCCCCATGGGCAATCACCGTTGAGTACGGAGTTGATCGAGAGTGAGGCCGCCACAAACCCCGTGCCTAGATATAGAGAGGGACGACCACATCACCATCATCAGCATCATCCTTTCCACCATGACCAATACCATCACCATCCTCAGGCCCATAACCTCATAAGCGTCATCCGCCTCATCAGCACCAGCAGCAGCACCACCACCACCATCATCATCACCACCATCCTCATCCTCATCCTCATCATCGTCATCATCATCCTCGTCATCATCATCATCATCATCATCATCACCATCATCACCATCATCATCATCCTCATCATCATCATCAGCATCAGCATCAGCATCATCATCATCACCATCATCATCATCATCATCATAATCATCATCATCATCATCATCATCATCATCATCATCGGCAGCTTCATCATCATCATCATCATCATCAGCAACAGCAGCATCAGCATCATCATCATCAACAGTATCAGCATCATCAACATCACCAACACCACCATCGTCATTATCACCGGCACCAGTATCATCATCAGCAGCATCGTCATCATCATCAATGTCATCATCAGCACCACCACCAGCATCATCATCATCATCAACATCATAATCAGTATCAGCATCGTCATCATCATCAGCCTCAGCATCACCGCCACCATCACCATGGACATCAACATCACTAACACCATCACCATCAACATCATTATCGCCAACATCATCACCATCACCATTGATATCACCATCATCGTCAGAAGCAGCAGCAGCGGCGGCAGCAACATCCTCAGCAGCCCTCCCCCCACACCCCCTCACCCAATGAGGAGACACCTTCCTCCCTCCTGCTCCGAGGGCTGCGGCCAGCCCGTCCAGCGCGGCGACGCGCTCGTCCGTGAAGGAGTCGAGCACGGCCTCAGAGCGGAAGTAGGAGCCCCCGGCAAGCCCGGCCTCGGCAGACGGGACTATCCCCCTCACACAGCCTCCTCCCCCCTCCCCCCCGTTCCATTTCCTCATCCTCCTCCTCCTCCTTCTCCTCCTCGTCCTCCTCCTCCTCCTCCTCCTCCACCTCCTCCTCCTCCTCCTCCTCCTCCTCCTCCTCCTCCTCCTCCTCCTCCTCCTCCTCCTCCTCCTCCTCCTCTTTCAGTCGGGACAATATGATCATATCTGTGTCTAGACCCGTGCGGGAAAAAAAGCACTGGCAACGAGTGACTCGTCCAGGGCCGCATGCAACTTGCCCCGCCTCTTCCTCCTCCTCCTCCTCCTCCTCCTCCTCCTCCTCCTCCTCCTCCTCCTCCTCCTCCTCCTCCTCCTCCTCCTCCTCCTCCTCTTCCTCCTCT